AATTTTACATAACGGTTGAGCACCATTACGATCATTATCTAATTAATTGAGTGTGCTACTTGAGAACACCCTAAATTATTAAAATAGAACTTATTTTTATTGAACTTAAGCAAAATTTAAATCTCTATCTTGAAAAATAAAAGAGAAATAACGATTTGAAAAATACATATTTTACTATATGAATTTCGGAAAAGTTGTGGGTTACGTAAAAAAATTTGATACTGATTTTAATATATGATCTTCAATAGGTTTGTTAACAATAGGACATCGCATACCCCAATCCATTATGTATACAAATTATCCTATCTAGTTCTCATTCGATTTCCTACTTATATTTACTTGGACCATTTGTTAGCTATCTTCCCTCGTTCCTGGTTTCTAGTGCGACTGCGTCGCGCAGCTACCTTATATAATTAATAGGTTGAATGAAAAATAAAATGGGCAAAAGTAGTGTTTAAAAGTTTAGTATATACGTATACGTAGGAGTGATTTGAAGGTTTATCTATATAAGGGAATATGTAGTTTTAGGCGATTTTAGTATTGTGTTAGGTATAGAAGTTAGGTAAGAATACTAGCATATGTGTGAGGATGCGGTGTAACTAAGGATGTATAGTAAGTTAGGGTGTTAAATGCACTATGTAAATCAAATTTATTTACTCGTCACTCCATGTTGATGAACATTTTTTATTCGGTTCTACTATATTGTGAAATAAAAATTTATCGAATTTTGATTAGGTAGTTGCTGAGTTATCATTGTTCAAAGTTTACAAAATTTAAAATGCTTATCAAAATAATAGCTGTGGCAAAATTTTTATAAAACTTTGAGCGAAGTTGGAAATCGCCCCAATCAGATTCAATGAATTTTTTTTATCCTCATTTACAATACTGTAAAATCGAAATAAAAAAAAGTCCATCAATTGTCTCGTGTACAACACTGGACTGTGCATACCCTGGGGGTAAAAAGCGTACTCATTTATTTAATATTTAAAAATATAAACAAATAAATACGGCCAACATCTACTATAGAAAATACCAGTATATTTCCACATAATATTTAAATATTTGCAGGGATAGTAAAATTTATCCCTGCCCAGAAAATGATAATATTACCTGTTTGGTGGCTTTTAAAATATTCAAAATACGTAGTTAGTTATGAGGCTTGCCTAAAATCTTTTTTGCCCACCCTAACGGAAGCCCATAATTACAGAAATTTTCATTGTTTGTAAGAAATATCTTTTCAATGAGAACCAAAATTTTTTATTTGTTTTTTATTTTTATTTTATTTTATTTTTTTTATTTTTTTTTTTAGCGGCTTAGAAGACTAAATAGTTTTAACCGACTACCATGCAAGCCTATTTACAAACATAGTGCAGGTGTATGTGAAAATTATTAATTGGAATTTTTTTATAGATCAATGATAGTATATAGTAAAACATAAAATTCAAACTGCAATAACTCTTGTACCAACAAGTCCACACAAAAAAATTATATTTGTTAAATTCATTTTAGCATGCCCTTTGGGTTGATCTATAGTATAAATAGGCAATATACAGCCAACTCTCTCTAAGTGCAAGTCAACGGCCAGCAAAATATCTTGCATTTAGAGAGAACTTGCAATTGAAGAAAATTAAATTAATATATAATTAATTCTCTCTAAATGCAAGTTTATAAGTTAAAAAAAATATCTTGAACTTAGAAAAAAAACTTTAATTAAATATGTCAATTTAATTGGTTAATAAAATATCTTGCAATTAGAGAAAATAATTTTATATATGCCGGCTAAAAAAAAATTTTGCACTTACAGAGTAGAGAACTTGCATTTAAGTTATAAGTCCCAACACGGGACCAGACTATTTAATTGCATTTAGAGAGAAGTTGCACTTAGAGGACGTGCACTTAGAGGAGTCGACTGTATATAGAATTATTATAAGATTATAATATATAAAAATAACTATTTGAATTAATTTATAAATATATAGTTAGGGTTAGGTGAGGGTTATAGTTTAAATTAAGGTTAGGCTAGGGTTAGGGTTAGAGTTTTTATATATTATAATTTATAATATTTCTATATTGCCCTATATCCTGCTCTTTAAAGTAGCAATGTCGTTTATTTTGTTTATTTTTTTTTGTTTAGAGCATAGTGGGTGTCCCAATTTCCATGCAAAATTGTCGTTTTCTTAAATAAAAATCAAAAACGTAGCTTTAAATTTTTTGTCGATTACCATTGCATTATATATACAATACAATACGATAGACAAAAATTCAAAATTACATTTTTTGATGTTTTTATTAAAAAAAAAAACATCAAAAGACACTTTTGCATGAAGATTGAGACACCCGTTAAGCTCTAAATAAAAAAAAGCGTTGTTACTTCAAAAGCATGTTAAAATGAGTCCGACAAATGTAATCTTATTATTTTACTATTACACTATCGCTGATCTATAAAATTAATGATTTTCACTATGCAACCTGCAATAGGCTTGCCAATGTAGTAAATAAACAATACTTAAACAATTGTTTGTACAATAATAAATAATCAATACTCACGCGTGGTAACTAAAAAATTTTCGTATTCTCTTAAGACTCTGCCTTAATTGTAGCAATAAATAAAATGGAAGAAGTGCTTATCGATCTACATAAGGGATATCCGATTACGCAAATTGATTGTTCACCTAAAATGAAGTATGTTGCTACATTAAGTGAATTTGATAAATCTGTGGTCTTGTGGTCTATTGAAAAGGGTAATCCAAATTTGCACCGTAAAAACACAATTTCAATCGACAATATCGATGTCGGATCAGAAACTTCAACAACATTTACAGTTTCGGATAATGGATATGTTGCAGTAAAACTTCGCGGACTAAATCCTCGTAACTTTGGTGAGTTAAATTTGAAATAAAAATTAGCGTTATCACAATGATTTAATTTGAATTATAAGTTTGACATATTTATTACATCATTTATTAAGAAATTTACAATATCAAAACAGCCAAGATATCTTCTCTGGATCTTCCTTATTTACATAATAATATCAGTCATTTATCCTTTATTGATGACGAAAAGCTTGTGATGGTCAGCAGTGAAGATCACAAAGTATATATTCTTTATCAAAAGGAAGAAGGTGGCAAATGGATTCTCAAATCAATGCTCGAACTAAAAAATTTCAACACTTCAGATAAAATATACATAACTTCCAAAGGAAAGTTAATCATTTTTAAAAATGTGACTCATGAGATAATGATATGGAATTTGAAATCTCCAATTGAAGAACAAATTTATTTAAAATCTCCAACTGAAGTACAAATCTTGTTGGATTGGAACCTTAATTTCGAAGGTATTGGGTTAAGTGATGATGAGGAAATGTTAGGAGTAACTGCAAGCAGTTCTAAATTAACGTACTTATATATTTTTTCCACAAGAAATGGAATGAATTTATCATCACGTAAGTTTCAAATTTCATGGACATTGACAATTTAACGTAATAATAACGATCTGCCACTCCTATCACTTCAGGTACTTATAAAAAATCAGGAGAACATTTAGTAATGATTGATGGAATCCACTTTATTGCATCTAATTTCGGTGAACGTGTACTTATCACTTCACATGTGCATTATATTTTAGAAAGGGTCAAAATGAATCTTAATGTTCACAAATTTCATGATGAAAAAAGAACTTTTAATTATAGATTAATGGATCCCTACACTTTGACGGAACCTGTCAATGCAGGTAAACTCTTTAGATGCTTAAAGGCTAATATTAATCCGCCATACATAATTAAATCGGACAATATTATTTATGCGATTGATGATGAATTATTTATCAAAAATTTAATAAAAGAGAATTGTATTTATTATTTGAGTAATGATTTGAAAGATAGTAATGACTGGAAAGATATTTGGAATAATTATTCGAAAAATAATTCGAAAAAAGATTTGAATGATGACGATTGGAAAAATATTTGGATTAATTATTTGAGACATAATTTGAATGATAACAACAAAATTTCGACACCTCCAGATAAAAAAGAAATTATTAATTTTATTATAGAATTTTGCAGTGAAAAAAAAGCCTTTCAAGGAAAAAAGACATACAAAGATAAAAAAATCTCGACAAAATGGACCTTATCTTGCAAAGATGTTACATTTACACTTGAGGTGCTTCCAGACATACCTGAAATACCTAGAAAAATTAAGAGAGAACAAAAAGCAAATATGTATGTAAGAGAATGTAAAGTTCTTAAAAATGGTAATCTTGTCATGATTTCAAACGAGTGTGTAATTCTCTGGACATTTAATCCACTGAAGGGTATAAGTGTGCATTACATTTGGAGTATTTACGAGAGTAGTGACAAGGGGGTCACTTTAAACGAATATTGGGAAAAAAAATTTAAAGATACTTTGGCAGAAAGATTTCTTCCACCATCTGACTTTGATGAAATCATCAAAGCAGCTAAACAAGATGAAGATATCACTAATTTATATAATCTGTTATTAGATAATTATATTAAAGAAAATTTTTTTTTAGCATATTACGGGAAAATGCTTATGGAGGAATTTTTAAAATTAAACAAGGATTGGTTGGTTGAAAAATTATGCAAGAGTTGTATTAAAAAATGCTCTTATAATGATGAATGTGATGATTTACTATCAAATATTCAGTTATTAAGTATTATTGCTCAATTTTATTCAGAATTAGTTCAAAAGAATCCTGCAATTATGTATGAATTTTTATCACAGATGGCATTTGTAGTTCCTTCTACTGAGATTGATGATGTATGCTATAATACTTTATCTTCTTCGCCTCATCTTCATCATTATGGTTCATATTATAACTTATATGAAACATTCCATATGAATGTATTTTTTATAATTTCTAAATATTGGCTTATTTTTAAAAATAATTATAAACCTTTATTTTCTTTTATTCAGAATCGGTTACCAAAGCCATTTACATATTATTATAGAACTCATTATATAGATAATAATGCAAAAATCAAATTATTATTTCCTTTACCCAATTTTGTTAATTATCCCAAAGATTTTAATACTTTGAAGGAGCTATGGAGACCTAAAGATAGCTCCTTTACAGAGTTTACAGAGGCAATTGATTTAGAATTATACAAGACTTGGAATGGTGAAGCTCTTTTAAACTTCAAGTGGAATACCTATGGGAGACTTTATTATTTATTTATCTGGATAATTTATACGATTTTTCTTGGTTGCTTTGCTATTGTAGCAACTTTATCAAATGATATTTCTTGGGCTTATCAAAAAATTTTTTTAATATTAACTATTATACTTGGTATCTGGCATTTTGTCTTTGAGCTTCGTCAGTTTATTTATTCTCCAATACTTTATACCACTTCTCCATGGAACTTTGTTGGTAATTACAAGTTTTTGCACTATTATGCATTATTTCATGTTATCCATATTTATTTGATTTTTTTTTTTTTTTTTTTGCAACAAGATTTGGGAGCTATTTTACTTCCAACCATAACTTCAATTATATGGCTTAATAATTCTACTGCCCCAATTTGGGCAATTATCTTTTCTACATTGTTGCTTGAATTAAAATTTCTCACTTATTTTCGGGCAATTGGATATGCTGGAGTTTATTTTGCAATGATAATTGGTGTGGCTAAAAGAGCCTTTTTATTTATATTTATACTAGCATTTATTGTATTTGCTTTTGCACATTCTTTACATCTCTTACTAAGACCTACTACTGATATATCTTTGGATCAACCGAATTATTCGAATGATCCAAATAATCCTTGGAATTTGGTAACAAAATATTATACAGTAAATTCAGATGGCTCTGTTAGCGAAAATCCTTCTCTTATTGAACCTCCTAATGCAAGTACAAATATGTTTTCAACACTAATGACTGCAATTTTGGCCGTTTATATTATGCTTACGGGTAACAATATTAACAATATGGATCAAAATTATGCTTGACACTAATTTTTCACTAGATAACGCTAACGCTAAAATCTTTAATTATAATATTTAACAGGGGATTCATCTTATATATCTCCCTGGGCTTTAAATGATGATATAACTTTAACTATCCTAGTAGTTGTATTTTCTTTTTTTACAACAATTTATTTAATGAATTTATTTATTGGATTACTTAGTGAAGCAATAAATGAGACCAATAGCAAAGAATATTTTTTACTTCAAAGGGCTGAGGTTGGTTGTTCGAAATTATTATATTTGATAAAATCAATCATACATTATTTCCTTAAAGTTTGAATTTGGTATATCAATAGTTTATTAATACATGACTATCTGCTATGTACTAATTTACTAAAATTATGTTAAATATATACCAAATTGTCTAAATGTACTTTAAGATATATATCCAAGTATTGTGATTGAAATGTAAACTAACAACCTCAAATTTAATACTTATGCAGGTTTTAACTGAGATTGAACTTTTTTATATGTTACCATATCAAAGAAGAAAATATAATTGGTTTCCAAATATTATGTAAGTATTATATAATATAATCTGTTATTAATTATTAAAGTTTTAATTATATTTATTTTTGTATATGTTAAAATAGTTTTTATGAAGTGCATGTACATCAACTTCGTGATCTAGTTAGAGATATTCAAAATGGTAAATGGACAACTATAGAAAAACCTGTTACTTCTCCTTTACTTTTAAGAATTATTCATATTGAAGGTGAATTTGAAATTAGTCAAATCAAAGAAGAGTTAAAAAAGTTAACTGAAGGTGTATTTGAAATTAGTCAAATCAAAGACGAGTTAAAAAAGTTAACTGGTTCATTTTCCGAATTTTCAAAAGAAATTAAAACAAAGTTAGATAAGTTACAAGATACTGTTAAAACTTCCGAAACCGATTAGAGGTTATCAGATTCGAAAACATTATAAGCTATTAGATTTTATAACGGAAACGGAATTGGTAGACTAATTTTTATCAGATTATCGATTTTCGGAGGTTCAACAGTAGTTAAATTGTAAAAATATTTTATACTACAGTCAGACCTCGTTATAGTCACTCTTTATATAGTTACAACCTCGATATAATCACACTATTTTTAACTCGAGCTATTATAAAACATAAAATTGACTTTTATATAGTTACAACTTTTTATAATCACCAGATTCTTCTTTCCAAGCTGGTGATTATATCGTATATATGTATTTATTTATGATATTTTTATAAGTTTTGTTTTTTTTGTTTAAAGTTTTAACTAAATACGAATGTTAGTAAATTAACAATACAGTCGATCCATGTTAGGTAATTATGTTAAGCGAATTAATAAATATAAGACAAGGTAGCGCTCCAACAAAAGTTGCCCCCGTAATTTTTACTGAGAATAAAACGTTGTAGTTTTGGTTAGGGTTAGGACGATAGGGTTTCTATTGGTAAAATTTCATGAGGAGCATTTTTAATTAGACCGCAGAAGGTGGTTTCTTGAATTATTTATGTTTTTTTGTAAAAAAAAGAGTTCGCTTCGAATGTTTACGTTTACACCTGAATTTGAAATTTGATTGGTCAAAAATCACAGGAGGGAACTATTTTTGTGGGTGCGTTAGGGGGTTTGAAAAGGCCCGGAAAATCTTTGTTATAGGTCCCCGCCATAAAATAAGCGAATCAGTTTTGCGGACACCTTAAAAGATTAATAATAAAGCGAATCATTTGTAGCCGAACACCTTGGTATATAATATGTGAGCTACTAGAACCATCTGAAATTTTTCGGAGCTTTGCTTCAATTATTTTCCTGACCTTGCTCGTATTTTTACGTTCGTTGATTTTCGAACCGGAATATTTCGGACTTGTACTTGATTTTATAATAAATCGAATCAACTAATAGCGATGACTTTTTTTATATATAAAGTTGAGGACTTCACAGGATTTATAATAATTCGTATCTATGATAAGTCGGTCATAGTTAGTATAATCTGTGCTCGGTTTATGATCACGTAATGATCACGTAATGATCACGTAATGATCATAACTGATAAGGACAGGTTTTCTCGATAACCAAACTCGATCAAAAGTTTTTTATTAAGTTAAAATAAAAAATTTTTGTCGGTTATGGAATTAAAATAAAAAACTTTTCATTTAATTTGATAGAGTTATCGAGAGACTTCAAAACTTAGAAAAAATCTGCTCCGTTTATCAATAAATTGCTTCCAAAAAATTTTTAAAACTTTAAGCGAAGCTTTCTCGACGACTACCTGTCCAAATTCAATGAAATTTTTTTTAAATTTCAATTCTATGAATGTGTAGAATTAAAATAAAAAATTTCATTGGGTGGTTACCGAAAAAACTTGTTCGAAGCTTAAAAAAAACTTTTAAAATTTTGAGCGAAGTTTTCTTGACAACTACCTGACCAAATTCAATGAAGTTTTTTTTATTTCAATTCTATGAATGTGTAGAATTGAAAAAGAAAATCATCGAAATTTAGTTAGGTGGTTACCATAGGACGACATTCGTATGATTGGTAGATCTACCCGTGATTTCCCGTGATAATTAACCAATCAAATCAATCAAAAA